CAGTCGCCAAATTTTATGGAATTCCTATGTGCGTTTGCAAAGTTAACAGCATTTTTTGAATTCTACTAATGGAGAATAAGCAGAAAAAGTATCCGCTCACTGCTTATTACATTCGTTTATTGTAGTTTCTACGCGTTTAAGACCTGATAATTTTTTTGCGTTGTTGTCAATAATACAGATTTAGATAATCGAAGGATAAATCTGTATTTTGTGAGTAAATTTTTCGAATTATTCAGCTTTAATCGAAATGAGTGCAAAAGGCAAGGAAATAAGTGTTGATGAGCGGAAAATAATATTAAAATAAAGGGAGCTTTCGTGAAATTGGGTGAGTTGTCAACAGAACGGAGTCATCAGTGTGATACGCCATCCAGATTTTCAAAAAAACGGGAATTTTTACTTCAAAGCCTCGATTTGAACGTCCGACTGATCGGGAAACACGCAAAGTTGTACCTCTTGTAAAGGTTAATCCGCGTTTAACCGCTTCCCAAATAGCAGAAGTTGTAAAAATACGATTTAAAAAAACAACATGCAGCGACACAGCAAGAAAAATATTAAAAAGTGTTGGATATCATGGGCGAGTGGCACGCAAAAATCGATTAATTTCCTTAAAAAACCGTATTCGCAAACCTATATCTTCCTGCGGACCAGTTTTATGGTCGGATAAGACCAAATATAGTATATTTGAAAAAAAGGTAGACAGATAGTGTGGCGAAAAACTGGTACGGCCTTTGAAGCGCGAAATCTTACTTCAACCGTAAAGCATGGTGGGGGTGAAGTTCAATTGAGGGGATGTATGGCAGCAAGTGGAGCTGGTGGCATTGAATTTATCGAAAATATAATGAATAAATTTGTTTATCTAAATATTTTAAAACCACAAATGAAGCAAAGTGCTGATTGCCAAATGTGTTTTGTTTCCAACAGGACAATGACCCTAAGCATACAGCGGAACTTGTTCGCCTTTGGCTTCTTTACAATGCTATAAAACAGCTACATTCACCTCCACAGTTACCTGATCTCGGTCCAATTGAGCATTTATGGGCTCTATTGAAGCGCAGACTTCGCACACATACGATTACCAGCAAAGAAATGCTCAAGACCGTTATATTGGATGAATGGAGTAAAATTGCAGCCCAATATACGAGAAAATTAGTACATTCCATGCCTAAACGTCTAGCAGAAGCTCTAAAATTTTGAGACTACCCCACCAGCTATTAAACTTTTTATAATTACTTGATATTTTTGTGTTCTGGTTGATGAGCGGAGACTTTATAAAACCCTTCACAGGTGATCGGTCAATTTGGATGGCAGCTATAAGCTCTAGTGGTCCGATCTGAACAATATGATCGAAAATCGTAGTAATACCTTGGATAATAATCTATGCAAAATTGTATGTTCAAGTTTATATGGCAGCTATATGCGCTAGTGGTTCGAATTCGGCGGTTCCGACAAATGAGCAGCTCCTTGATGAAGAGGTGTGCAATATTTCAGACCAATATCTCAAAAGCTGAGACTAGTTCGCGTATATACAGACCGAAAGATAGACGGGCATGGCTAAATCAACTCAGTTCGTCATGCTGATCATTTATATACACACTCTATAAGGTCTCCGACGTTTCCTTTTGGGTCTTACAAATATCATTGTAAACTTAATATACTCTGTTCAGAATATAAAAACGAAAAATGGTATCTAGTCCGCCTTTACCAATGAATTAATGTCTCTAACTACGTACTAAACGCTTTATTAGTGTCATATAACAGTAGTCTGTGAAACAGATAGCTCTTTATTATCCGTAATAAATATGCCAAGGTTTTTAATTTCTCTTAAGTCCGGATTATGTGTATACTATCAATTAAACATTTTGTGTAGACCTCTGTTAAGCGTTTTGGGTTTTGATATATTGCGATCTTCTGAAGCCGATTTGGGATGCCATTCAGCAGCAGCAAGTGCAACTTCTGTGTCATTTGTATACCCATAATCTATTTGCTGCCTTGGAAAAAATGTTTTGACTACGTATTTAAAAGGAGCTGCTTAAGTCGCCTCTTGTATAACCGCACATGACCAGCTTATATTCTAAACCGCAAATATTATCATCACGTTTGTCACCATGATCTTTAAAGCGGGATGGTTAACTCTTTTTAATTTAAGATTTAGCGAAGTCTTTCGGGGATCATCCAGCCTATATCCCTCTAGAAACCACTAGAGTGAATTTTTGTTTGGCTAAGGCCATAATCCTGACTAAGGAGTCTGACAGAATGATAATGTCTAACATTAGACCGTGAGAAATGTGTACTTAGTAATATCTGTTTTCAGTACTCCATGTAAAGTGCCCCGCTAACTTGGCTGTCAACCATTAGTGCGGTCTGCATTAGGTCTTTTGATAAAAATCTTTTGATTTTTGCCATTCCACTTACGCAATCAATATATGTACAATATATATATTTATATAAGTATATCTCAACCTTAAATTCTTAGAACAAGAACGCGGCATTTTTATATCGCAAAACTAAGTGGATGCTGTTCTTTTCAACTTTAAAAGTATGTCTAACCATTTAGTTACTTTAATTTGGACAACAAATTTCATTAATATGTCTTATGGTAACCTTCCCTTGCTATCCATTGCAAAGATCGTCGTATTCACAGAGAGTGTCATAATAAATCCGTTTTTACATTCTAAGCAATCTGGAACAGAAATTTATGTTCCAAACAATTATCACAAGCAATATGTAGTACGTGCGTGTAAAAAAATATATATTCATGCATATATTATATATGAACATTTTAACAAAGTTACTAAAATTTGTCAATGAAGTGAAAAATCGCACTAAACGCTATTATTTCTAAACTATAAAAATTATACATATGTATATTGAAGGAAGTGGTATTTATGATGTATGTGAATAAAACCACAATTATTTGAACTGAAGTACCTAACACAAAGGTACTTTAAAGCATCCCTTAAATAAGACATGACATTACAATAGACAACTGATATTTTAGGGTAGGTATGCATTTATTTTCCCATAACAACAACTATTGAGTTATTCTTTGTTCTTCAGTACAAAGAAAAGAAAAAACAATTCAACGAACGTGATAGGTTATGATTAAGCATATTTTATATCTTGAACATGCTCAGGCTCATGCTGTCATTCTTTCAAATGCCATATTCATAGTAATCATATGTTTTAGGGTTGTTAATTTTTGTATTATTTCAAGTATCAGTTTATATTTTAAAATTTTCATAAATTTGATACTAAGGTCTTATATTAGTTTCCTTCATCCAACTTTTACCTTTCAATATTTTAATATTTATATTATATTTATGAATAAAAGCATATGACAGTACAAAGCGGTATTAGCTATACTAAATTTTAGCTACAAGTATAATATATTACCTAACTATTATCCTCCTACCGTCCAACCGGCGTTCTTTAAGCGAGATCTAAAACTCCTCAGCTACAGACACAAAAATTTCAACAGCAAAGATTAAAAAATATGTTATAATAAACTTTTGCGATTCTATATATAGGTATATTAACTAATATAGTGAAAAAGGAGCTATATAAATCAAATATGTAGGAATATGAATTAAAATCATACGGCGGAAATCTTCGTTTAGTTCAAAATTTTATCTACATGATTTTAACAGATATTTAAACCCATGCTAAATATTAAATTCATCCTCAGATAAGAGAAAATAACTGCATACTGTTTCTTTCATGATTTTCGCAATGAATATTATGCGAAGCATTTTCCTGCGACTAGTGAGTGTAGGTAGATTTAGAGGTATGGAAAAAGGCTTTACGTAGAATCCTATTGCAAGTCCCTTGAGGCGAAAGTAAAAAATTGTTTTTTTACGAATTGTAACTTATCAGAAATTGGTAACTAGGATTCCATATTCCATAAAGGGCCTGACCAAAGTTGTAAAATTAGTTATAGTTACATACAGATATCTACATTCTTTCGGCCAACGTTTAACAAATCTAAGAGCCCTTTAACTTTCAAAACCATGGTATTCACGTGAAGGTTAAAATTAATCTCAGAAGTCCATAGTAACTCCCAAATCAACAAAGTTAAATTCTTGCTCTAGACTATAGTTTTTTTATTACATAGGCAGAAGGGTTCACATAACTACGCTAAAGCTGATCGTCTAACATTTAAGCTTCAGTGGCATGTCATTTCTATCACAAACCAAATTATTAAGTATGTTTGGAACAGACAGTTTTTACCGTCGGAAAATAATTCATCTTTTGAGGTCTCTATTACAGAAGAAATATAATTAATGAAGTGTAAAGTGACTTACTCTATCGAAAGCCTTGACAAAACCAATGTACACGCCGCCCGATGAGGCGGTCTAGCGCGAGCCACCGGTGATATGCGCCGGGGTGAACGTGTTAAGCAAAACCAACACATTCCTCTACCATCCGGACCTTGTGTGAGTAATTATCGTGAATAGAATCTAAGATTCTACCTGATAGTCAGCATGAAACAAAACGATCAAACTCAAACTCGCCTTTAATATTGAAATTTGGAATATTACAAGCCATGATAATAAAACGACAAGATGAAAAGATTACAATATTGAAATAACCACCACTAAGTAAAACGAAATGTAATATATAAAATATTGACATTTAATCAATATTCAATATTAATAATAGTTATAATAATTACAATGATTACAATTAAAAGTTAAAGCAATAAAAATATCAATTGTTAAGCCAAGCTCAAAACCAAACATTGTGAGAAACAATGAGGAATATGAGATAAATAATAAGAAAAATTAAGACCAATAGGTAAAAGACCTATCTGCAAATTTATGTATGTACACTTTGCCAATTATTTTTGTATAAAATTAAAAATAACATTGCATCATTTAATCTTAGTTTATAACAACAGAAATAAGCGTTCAGTTTTAAATTTTCACAATGAGCTATGTTCTGTATTTCATGTTCACATACAAACGAAGAGATTCAATTTTAATCGCATCTACCTGTTCTAGAAGTCGAGTCACAGCGGAATCGTTGGAAAATGCAAAGCTGGCAAGGAAGAACACCGTAATCTCATCAGACTGGTCAGTACTCCGCTTCATCTTGCATTCTAGCATTGTATCTGTGGATCTTGTGAGAGTTCAGTATGCGTTAGCAACCAGTACGTCCATGACAGCAATGATAGGAGTACTAATTGGACACAACGAAATAGCATTTCTAGCTGTCCTAGTGGGATCATTCTTTACTTTACGGATATCAATCTAATTACCTAACCTATAGTAACCTAACGTGTGATATTTGATTAATAATGAAACCTTTATAATCTTGTCCATACATATATGTATGTATTTAGTACTTTTTAGGGACAAACTAAAATTTATATATTAAACAGTTGTACTCAATTTTATGAGAAATAATCAAGATTTCGCTAAAGGATTTTATAAAGAATCAAAATACGAATTGAAAAGTTGTGGAAGGAATTTTCAACTGAACTCAACAGCCACTGCGACACTGTAGTAATTACCTGACATACGTCTAAGGAATGTAGCTTAGATTTTATTATATCCTTATCATGCATTTTCCATTCTACAATGTCCGTTCAAAAACCTCTATTAGTAAACTAAGTACTTGCGATACAATTCTTCTTCCTAATCAAACGTCTGCATCTTTCGCAACGGTCTGTGGAAACGTCTTTTTGCAAGAAATCGATACTGCACATCAGCAACACGAATTTGAATTATCCTTTAAAACTTACTTCGAATCTTTTGTTATGTGAAGGCCTTATTTTGCACTACTCTCACGGGAGCATTAATGTTAGTTTGAGAAAAATAAAATATTTCTACATCAGTAGAAAATAACTGTCATTTGCTTCAAACATCAGTTTCGATGAGGAATACAACGACTTCAAAATGTATGAAATCATTCGGTTTACAGAGCACGAGGAACTTTTCTCAATATTCGGCCCTTCTCAAACCTTTGTTAGCTTAATGCCTGTGACAGACATGTGGTAACAATACCATAATAACACAAGTATTATAATATTTTTTTTACTACGTTGATGACACATATCAAAATGTACACTTCTAACTGGATGATAGCGCCAACCGACACTAACGTTTTCACCAAGCTGTGGTTAGGTTACCTACAGATAGCTTGATTATTGTGAGTGCGTGAGGAAAACAGTTTATAAAACTTGAACGTGAACACACAAAAACTGTGAAAACGATATCAGCCATGTATGTGCATTTTTAGACGAGGACTCTTTTTGCCGCTCAAGCCGGTTTTCGTAGATGAATAGACCACATGGAAAGACGAAGGGACCTTTGTGTTGTTCAGCTTGCTGCTACGAAATTCGCCATTCCTTTTCACTTTGAAATTCCTTTCATGGTTGCAACAGCGCTCATTATGTTCGGAAATTTAGGTGTTATTACCCCTTTTTTGTATGTAATATGAATATATGAATGCAAATAGGTATAATAAATAATGATAATGAGCGATAAAGGTGTCCCCGTCTGAACGCCGTCTATGAAGCTGATTTTTCTTGTAGATTTTACAGCTGACAGACAGCTGTCATTTCCTGCTCTGGTTAGAAGCTAACCAAGACTCCTTCTTACGGTAAAGCTTAACAATACTTACGTAACTGATAGATTCTTGATAACCAGATATTGAACCATTTTTCAACATGTTGCTGATAGTGAATGGAACTGGAGGTATTCTGTTATACTTCTCATTGATTAAGTCGGGTTTGTTTATTGTTCTTTTTTTGCCTCTGTTTTTCCACCAAATATTTTTAAATTGAACTAAGTTTGAGTGCAACAATTTCAGATAATTCATTAGTTCATGTTCCTTTTCTGTAATAAAAACAAACCAACTAAATAAAATGTTCCTCAATTCGCTTTACATGCATTCTAAAAAAGGTAATTTATTTATGATGTGGACTGCACAAAATGAAAAAAATGTTGCTACAGGGTATATTAGTTCTGTTCATCTAACGATTGTTCGTACCCCCTAAAGCTAATTGAGATGTAATGGGGTCTTATATATATAAACGATCAGGATGACGAGATGAGTTCCGGTTGTCTGTCTATCCGTGCATGCTGCAACTTGAGTAAAAAATTGAGGTAATAAAACTTTATACACGTGTTCCTTGGTCAAATCGGGAGGACAAGTTCGTAGATGGGCGTAATCGGACCACTGCCATGCCCACAAAATTTAAAATCTTTCAAAGGAGGGGCACCTGCGGTTTGAATAACTTTTAAAAGTGGGCGTGGTCCGTACAATCGTTCACATTCCAGTATACAAATTAAGCACCAATCGATGTTTCGGAATAAAACTTTGCACGAATACTGACTTTGAAGTATACCAGCTTAAAACATAAATTATCCAAATTGAACCAAAACTGTTCAAGCCCTCAGATACCGAACATATGGGCCCCAGTTCTTTTTGAGAACTTTTTATCGAAAATATCGGTCAATCTGTGAGACATATTATAGGAACACAGAGATAATATTTATCTGAGATTGATATGCCCGTGTGCCAAAAAATGAATGGGATCAATAATTTTTTTAGTACCCATATACCTACATTTTCGAATTTCCGGCTGACTTCATACCGCAAATATCAATCAATATGTGAGTTATCTTAATTGTATTGATTAAGCCTGTTTGTCTACTAACGGTACCTCTCTGTGTCTAAAATGAATAAAATCGGGTTAAAATTTGCACTAGCGCTATATAATTAATATGAGGATTTTGAAAGATCCGGTTGGCTTTACTCCTTATTGGTATGGTATATTGTTGATGGTATGTGGGGTACCTCAATGAAACTCAGAGATCATCTTTTTCTGGTAATAATATGTATTAATTCCCAAAATAGACAAAAACGGATCAATAGTACTCCTACCTCCCGAATATCTAATATAAGATTTTCAAACTTCTCATTGGCTTTATGCCGTATACCTATATCGGTCAATATGTAAGATATCTTAACAAAATTAACTGAACGGATAATATACATAATTTAATGCCGAAAATATTGATATTGGTCTACAAATTACCCAAATCCTCATATAGCCCATATAATAATTCTCGTTATTTTAACAAACCGGATTATGTCGGTCAATGTATAAGTTATATATTATATTTATAAAATTAGTTAATTGAAGTAATTTCCCCCGATTTAATCTTTGCAAGTTGCAAGAGTATTAAATGCTCGCTGACACCCGAACTTAGCCCTTCCCTTCTTATTTTTGTTAGTTTCCATTTCGGCTTTTAAAATTATTGTGCCTCAAATAGATTTTCGATAAATTCACCTATATTATTATGAAAAATAGAACTGATTAAGCTAAATCTAATTTTTTATGTTGTTTGAATAGTTCAAATGACAAATTAATATACAATTTTTTCTTTAAAGCGACAAAATTAGTTTTTGTTAAGAAAGACATGCTAGCGCAGGATTGCACCGCAAAGAAACAAAAGAAATTTGTATTTGCATTTGTCATTTAAACCATTTACAATAGTAAAATTGAGTTAAAATAAGCAAAACAAAACTTGGCAGCATTGAAGATAGAAGTTATACGACTCTAATGAGATGCTTCAATTCAACTCGATAATTTTGACCAACCAAACACAGCTTTTGTTATCTGAGAAGTTTTGTGAGAAAACAATACATATGCAACTAAATTTTAAGTTATTATAACTCTTACCCTTTTATTATTTTACTCGAAAGATACAATTTAGACGACAAATTTGTGTTTTTATTCATGTTTTAAATGTATTTAAAGTATTTAGCTAATAAAGTATCAGTCTATGAAATCGAAACTCCACTAAACTTGTATACAAATTTCCAAAAGAAAGTGTGCGCTTTCTTTTTATACCACATTTCGCTCCCTATTTCAGTATAATAAAATTTTAAATTTTCAAATAAATTATCATTTAAAAATGACTAAATACTGTTCTTACAAAAAATTAACTGCAATCTAAAAACAATCTACAAATACAAAAAACCGCAATCAAAACTAAATATACTCAGCATTTCACGGGTCAAAATAATAAGTGTGCAATTACGGTAGTAGGCCTCGCATATTTATTTTATACAAAAAATGTACCGTTATCAAGTTTTTTATTGTAAGTTCTTCATTCTAATATTTTTTACTACCCTCGTGAGGATAGAATATTATTTGCTTTTGGAAATTAGCGTAGAGCACCTCAATTTGACAATGGACAAGCAAACTTCACTAGACGTAAGAAAATTAGTGATAAACTTTATGAAACGAAGAAAATCTTTACTGAAATTGCTTTGATAATTGGAAGAAGTCATAATATAGTCAAAAAAATGATTGATAAGCCAAAAAATTTGCTGAACTAGGAGATCGAACACGTTCGGGTTAGCGAAGGCGACTCAGTAATACAGAAAAGCGATCAATTGTGAGAGGTGCAAAGATAACTTCAACTGTCAGTGCCGTACAAATGTCTGGAGAAGTGTCCAGAGTGTCCTAGTACCAGCACGAATAGGCGAGCATTGCATACTAATGGTTTGTATGGCCGAGTACCGAGAAAAAAACCATTAATCTCTGCACAGAACCAAAAGCGTCGATTAGAATTTGCGGAAAAAGATAAAATTAAGGTCAAAACATTCTGGAATAATGTATTTTTTTCTGACGAAAGCAAGTTCGAAGTTTTCGGGGAAAAAAACACTAAAGTTAGAAAAAATACGAATTAGGAATTTGAACGCCGGAATTATATGACTTGCTAGAGTTCGACGTTGGTTCAAAAGACATTTGTTCAATTAAACATTCGATATAACCGCAACAGTTCATCAGCACAGTTGCTCGCAGAATTGTAGGTGTTTAAAGAAATCAATTCTATGCATAGTTAAGGAAGCCAGCACAGCAGTAACGTGAAGTTTTTGAACATTCTATAGAAAAAATTCTTCAACACAAATTTTTGTCATTCATATTTCTTACTCATCATTCACTTAGATGTTTAGGTTAGATTCTATGGTTGTTTTTCAAATAGGGCTCGTTCTTTGACTGCTGAAAGAGGTCTTTCCAGAAGCTAGAAGAACTTCTATGGCGACTTGAACACTCTTAGAGATTTTATATTGCTTACCTGCATACTGAAGATTTGAGTTTCGAGGTGTCTTAACCTAACTCGTCTTCTTCACGACTCCTGTGTTGATTTTAAAGAAATTTTGCAATATTCCCCTTTCGTCGCTATTAGTTTGCTATAATACTATTTTTGTTGAGCAATGGTCCACGATTGTTTCGTTAGAGGCATTAGGATAGTGAGTGGTCTTCGTGTACCAATTTGTAGTTCGCCATTTCCCGTGTCTGTAGACTTTTTTTGTATGTTTTTCATTTAAAAGACATTGCTTTAAAAACCGCTTACTTATTTGGCAAACATTTTACCATTGCTAAAATGGATTAAGTTTGGCTAAACTGCCAAAGCCATTGTTTTCAAGAGCTGAGTAGTGGTTATAAATATACAATTGAATACATAATTGATTGCATGCGTCCAAAATATTTCAGGCAGCACGCGTAGGTCAAAAGGAAATCGGTTGACATCGCCCCACACGAGGTAGTTCGGACAATAGAAAGTTCCTTAGAAAAAAGAGAAATTACCCTAGCGGCATTCATTGTCGTGGAAGGTGCATTCAACAACTCTAGTACGGCTGCACTGATATCGGCTTTCGCATCTTTTGACATTAATCAGAACATGCTGGCCTGGTTAAGTCATATGTTAAGCAATAAACAAGCTATATACGATGGGAAAGGAAGGAAGAAAAAAATCGTTCGCCAGATCACGTGTGCCACCCTGCAAACAGGCACCTTATCCCTCTTGCTTGGATTCACCTTGATCAATGAATTAATACTTCTACTCGATAGAGAGAGCTTTATTCTTTTGTACAGGGATGAATCTTAATCGTTTTTTCAAGACGAAAAACTTACTTAAAACGATCAAAAAAGTACCGCATTAAACCCCTGCAACAGATTCAACAGATTCAACGGAACTGCGGTCGCATTAAAAACTACAATAACAAAGGCTCTGGAGGTTATCCTCGCTATCCGGCCAATACATATTCAAGTGATGTATGATGCAATGCTTAATGCATCTTGATTTTGGCCATGGAGTCAGAGTCGGGATCACTGTGGGCATGGTATTATACTCGACCTTGCTAATGAGCTCGGGCTAAATTGGCCATACGAGCGAGAAAAGGAAATCCATGAGAAATTAAACTCAACGTTTTTATTCCCCAGTAAAGAAGAATGGACCAATGGTTCAGCGAACGACAGTTCTAACTGTGAAATCCACATATTCACCGATGGATCAAAGGCTGAAATAGGAACTGGAGCAGGCTTCTTCCGTAGTAATTCATACGCAGAATGTAGCTTCAAACTAAATGATTACAATTCACTCTTTCAGGCAGAAATTGATGGCATAATAGAAGATCCCACGTGGGCTTCTGCTCCGACAAGTCCATAAACCAGCCAAGCGGCAATTATGGCTGTCGGTAGCGCCTATACTAAGTCTCCCTGCGTTAGGTTATGCAAGCAGGCAATAACTAGACACTCAGTATGTAACTTAATTAATATCTTCTGGGTACCCAGTCATATAGGAATAGAAACAAACAAAAAGGCAGACGAGTTCGCAGCTGGGAAGGCAATTGCCCTAAGCTGCCCCATACCATTCAGCTCCATCAAAGGTTGAGTGAAGAAATGGATGCTAGAGAAACAGCTCAAATCTTGGAAGACTAGCAAAGTGCATACCAACAAGGTTACTTTGTAGCACTACTGATGGTGGACAGCCCAAAAAAAAATATTTCAGGGGTCACCACAGGGCGCTGCCTTCAGTTCCCTTTGCGAATATTCTTTTACGGCCTCAATCGAGTCGAAACGGGTTCCACGGAGTTGAGTTGAGTTTTGGAAAGAAAAAAAAGTCGCATGGGGCCAAATTTGCTGAATACGGCGGTTAATCGATAGTATAGAACGAGTTTTTGGTCCTAAAATCGTTGCACACGATGGTCCTTTTGAAAAAAACTCAGTTCTTTTGGAACAAGCCAAGCATTGACGCGTCTCATGCCCAAATTATCGTTCAAAATCAAACAAGCTACTTCACGGCCGATGTTTAGCTTAAGTTCTATCTATCTGGCACTCGTATGATAATTTTCAAGCACGATTTCCTTAATTTTTTTAATATTGATATTATTTTTTTGATATGATATTATCATCAGTGGTAGACGTCGAAGGACGACCGGAAAGAGGCATGTCCTTATCCACCCTTAAAGTCTTTGTACCAGTCGTAGGCTTAGGTTTTCGAAAGATCAGATTTACTATAAGCCTTTTCTAACATTCGCACTGATTCCGCATACGAAATTTGGTTCGAAACACAAAATTTGATGCAAATTCTTTGTTCAATATTTTTTTCCATTGTAAAAATCGCAAAACTCTACTGAGGTCGACTGATTTCAACAGCTGCTGCAAACAAACTGGTTAATAGATCGCGCTCAGCTTTGGCATAGTAATTAAGGACAGTGCCATCAACTTAACAAAAAATAAATTATGAAGAATAATCAGCGCGGGCAGTTAAATGACAATTTCCATAAACTTTCGGGTCACAATGTAAGTATATATTACAAGTAATTATTAGGATGAAGAGACGAGTTGAAATCCGGGTGTCTGTCTGTGCAAGCTGTAACTTAAGTAAAAATTGAGAAATCGTGATGAAACTGAATGAACTTGGTACGCTTGTTCCTTTGTCAAATCGGGAGGACAAGTTCGTATATGGACGTAATCGTACCACTACCAGTAATCGAAAACCTACAAAGTGCCTTATCGAAGCACTAAATTACGATACAAAACTGTAATTCGGTACAGGTGATGGCAGTAGTAACAGGCACCTGTGGTCTAAAAACTAAATAAAACCATGCATTTAGAAGAAAACCCATATATCGGTACCTACTCGACCAATTTCTACCATATTCGGTACATAACATTTTTGTATTCCTATGTTACAGTGCGAAAATGAAGGAAATCGGTCCACAACCACGCATACTTCCCATATAACATAATTTTAAGATCTGTATACAAATTAAGCACAAATGAATGTACCGGGATAAAAATTTGCACAAATAGCGTCTTTAAAGTGTGCCAGCTTATGACCAAAAATTAATCAAATCGGACCAAAACTGTTCAAGCCCTCAGGTACCGAATACATGGACCAAAGTTCCTACTGCGAATTCTATATCGAAAATATCAGTCAATCTGTGAGTTATATTATAGCAACTTAGAGAGAATTCTCCTAATATGCCCGTGTGCAAAAATGGGTTGAATTGGAAAAAGAATTTCGAACTTCCGTCTGCCTTTATACCGCAAATATCGGTCAATAGGAAAGTTATCTTAATCAAATTGAAATAGCGTCTTTTTCTAATAACAATGCATCTTTGTGCATAAATTGGATAAAATCAGATGAAAACTTGCCCAAGCCGCCATATAACTAAAATCAGGATTTTAAAACATTCGGTTGACTTTAGTCCATTTATATTGGTAATAGCATGTGAGGTACCATAATGAATCTCAGAGGTCATCTGTTTTGTTATTAATATGTGGTAAAGTAAATAAAAGCTGCTCAATACTATCTCTGATTTACTTAATATACAATTTTTCAAACTTCCGGTTGACTTTATACTGTAAATATCGATCAATATTTAAGATATCTTAATACCTGAGCAATGTCAAAAGTTAGTAAGATCAGCCCAGATTTTTATTGCTGCCTATACACCGTTTATAATGATTTCCGGTATTTCCCCGGATTTGATCCTTCAAGTTGCTAGAGTATGAAATGCTCGGTTACACCTGAACTTAACCCTTTTTTGCTTGTAATTATTGTTTACGTTTATAATCTAAACAATCAGCTAACTAAAAAATAATAATGTCACGAAATTCCACGTAAGACTTTTGCCTATTACAGAACGGTTTCCAAAACGTGCATAAAGTAAAAAAATATTATTTATGATTCTTAGATATGTTTATAGATCCTTTGTCAGTTATATGGGTTAATAACTTTGACTGAAATATTGTAAAAGTTAAAACTTAAAGGACTGATATGTACATATGTATGTAATTGCCGATACTTATGCATTTATTCTTCTATTATTAAATTTTTAAATAGAATATAATAGGTTATGTAGAAACGTTATTGAATGCTCCAGAAATGTCCAGGAATGCTCCAAAAGCGTATTCCTTATATTCAAGCTCCCTTTGGATATTAAATACCTGTGTACGGAATGCTGTCTCTACTAATCTGCTTTTTGTGTGCGCCTGTGATGCACTTTTAAAGTTTTACTAATGCTCCCCGCAGGAAGGAAGTTAAGCTTATAGGTCTAAGCTCTTTAGAGTAGGTGAAAAAACTACCTTAGCCTCTCTCCATCAGTGAGACAAATATCTAAACTTCAGGCATGCTCCAAAAATCGCTTTAAGCCACGGCACGGATAGACAAGCGAATTTTGCAACATGGTTGGAATGATTCCATCTGTAACGGGAGATATGAGTGGGTCCAATGTGCGAATTGCCAGTTTTTATTCTCCGTAGTAATGTATTCCTGAAAGTTGACAGTAGTATTTTCTTCATAGATCGGACTAATCACGGCCTTACAGCCATTAATGTACACACTGACTAGGTCTGCCTGTAGAGATCACAGTTTGAGTTTCGGGATTTAGGCTTATCTCGTGTCTTATCTTTGATTCAGGTCTGATGGAGAAGTAGATGTTCCTGTGGTCAGAGAATAACGGTGTGCTTAGCACCCTCCAGTTCTCTACCATTGCATCTCCACTGGTACAGTGTTTTGTTTGGAACGTTTCTGGAAGTAGCCACGTCGTAACCACCCTTATCTAGGTTAAGAAGAAGCTCAGAATAGACGATCCTACTTTTGTGAAAATTGAAGACCTGAAGTACCTTCAGCCCTCCATTTTGGATCCGTCTTCACCATGATGTCTTTTATGCCGAGATCCTTTTCCACTTCATCTTTCTCCATCTTGTTTTTGTTACCGTTGGGGGTGGCGTTTCTTAAGGTGAAGGAATACGCTGGGAGAGATCTTTTCCCGAGCCTCGCATAGGGAATGTCATCTGCCTTCTTATTGATCTCGAGGATGTAGCTTTGGCCTTCATCCTCATTTGGAGATTTCGCCATGCTCAGTATCATTGTAGTAGTCGCAGCACATGTTCCGGGTCTACCATGCGAGGTACGATGACCTTCGCTTTAGCGGGAATGTTGCTGCTGTTCACCAGCTCCAGTTTTTCGTTTTCCCATAGGTTCGGAAGAGTTCTGACAGCTACCCTCACTCATGTCAGAGACGGGTCAGCGTTGCATTTCAGGATTTTGACTCCGCTAAACCATCTTACTCCATAAAATGACGGCGTGGATGCGTTTGGCTCTGAGTCCATCCTCTAGAAGAGGGCTTCCAATATCTTCATTTCCTCTATTTTCCACTGCTGCTGTGACATCTGCCGTCGCTGCTTTGGACGTTGTCGTGCTTGACGTTTAGCTTCTCGTCTACGTCTCTGCACTTTCTATTTTTCGAGGTTGCCTTTGGTTTACTCTCTGTCGAACGCTGCCTCTTTTCACTGATTCGCAAACGCTGAATGCGAGGCACTGCACCAATTCCGTGTGGCTAAATGTGCCCGACCGTTTTTCACCACCTCTTAGACCCAAGCCCTTCTTTAGGTTGAGCTTGTCCTCGAGTCGGCTACATATCCCGACCGCCTCCTTGAATCGTTTTAAGCCTTCAGCCTTTCTTTGGTTAGCTTTTTCCAGGGCCCTCTCTTGTTGCCAGAGTTGAAGCCCTCAGTCACCTGCTCAGGAGAGCGCAGAAGCACTTCTTCTTTTTTCGTGTTAATGTTTACAGCGTTCTCTCGGTCGATGTTTTCGTGGTCTGTGGTACCAGTGCCCTGTAGAGCTAGGTTGGCAGTAGTATTACAAACACTGCAACCTGCTTCCGTTGCAGTGGTGGTGTGGCCGCCGGCGACACAGCTTGGCAAACCGCTGTGACCACCGGTGGTAGCAACCTCTCCTCCCACCGACGTTTGGGCTGATACACCAGCCCGAGTTTTAACATCGTAGGTCTCTACAAATAGCTTTTTATATTTTTTTTATAACTACCGCAATGCCATTGTATTCCCCATTTACCACTTTCTGAGGTTGCATATAAAGCAGTCCATCATAAGGGATTAATAGGATTAATAGATTAATATTATACACCAGAAACTGAGCGCAATTACAACAATGGAAAGAATTTTAAAACGATAAGGAATACCGATTTGCGTAGAAATGCACTGTTACGAATAAGAACATAAAGCATGTCGCCCGAGCAAGAGCAACTCGTCGCCTCCTCGCCTATAAAACAAAAGTCTTCGTGTGCAAGCTCACAAGAGATTTTTTGCGCATACAGTAAGTATACCAAATACGCGCAGCACAAATTCCTTCAGCATTTCTACCAACGCTGTAATAATAGATGAAATCGAATGATAACCCCGCCCACTCCACATATAACGGTTCTGTGGAAAACTACTAAAAGCACGATAAATAAATAAATAAACATGCCAGGCGCTGCTTACTTTTATGTGAAATACGTATTATTAACAGAAACAGGTGATATCTAAGTTTCATTAAGGTGCCTCACGTATCATCAACAATATGTAAGGAGTAAAGTCAACCGAATGTTTGAAAATCCTGATATTCGTTATAACGGGGCTGGGTCAAGTTTTTTCCCAATTGTATCTATTTTAGGTTCAGAGCTGAATCGTTAGAAAACAAACACGCCCACTCAATTTAATTAAGATAATTCATACATTGGCAAATATATTGGGTATAAAGCCGGAAGTTTGAAAATCTTTCTATTAGGTAGCTAAGGGATATATTGACTCGATTAAACCCATTTTGGACATATAGGCATACTACTTGTATTATCCAGGAAGGATTCTCTCCTAATTTCAATTATATTTCACATTGACCGATATTTTCGGTAAAAAGTCAGCCAAAGGCTTTGGGGTCCATATTTCCGGTATCTGAGGGCTTGAATAGTTATGGTCCGATTTTTTCAGTTTTTAGACTTGCTATTCGTTCTATCCCGATACATTAATTGATTTGGATAAATGGGTTTTAAAATTGTCATATATAGGAAGCAGGTGTGGTTGCAAACCGATTCCGCCCTTTCTCGCACAATTATCTTATATACTAAATTTGGTATAATAGGTCCGGAGATGTGTGATTTCACCTAAAGTGAGGCGGTGCCACGCCCGTTGTCCAATTTTGACACCTGCTCCAATGAATCTTGTGCAATCCTCGAGGTAAAATTGAATGTCAATGACGGATTTAGTTATTGACTTATCGCTTTTCAAGGAGTTTTTAACAAAACCGTTATATAAGGTGTTATCATCCGCTTTCACTTATTTTCAATGTGCAAATTTTATGTTATTAATATAATTATTTATATATACAAGTATATTTATTATTTATATCTTGAATGGTGTCTGAAATATACACATTAAATTTTTTAGGGGCATGGCCACGCCGCCTGCCAGACGGAGTCGGTTAAATGCGACGCCAACTAAATACCATTAATCGAAAACGTATAAATTGCCACAACTACGCTCTATTTTAGCACAACAAATCGTATTAGGGAGCATAGATGCCGGTCTGAAAATCTTAAAAAAAAGGCTGTACCTCCTAAATCACTCAAGCTATATCAACCAAATTTACAGAGGTCAAATCGGATGATATCTCCGCCCACTCCCCATATAACTTTTTTGTTGAAAACTAATAAAAGTGCAATAACTCAGTATCAAAAATGCCAGATTCAAAATTATCAAAATTCGTTCCAATTGTGCAAACGTCATTATCTTTCCAGCAAATAAATAGTATTTCCTTGTTTTTGTCAATCCTATAATCGAATACAGCAAGAGGTTCTTTTTCATATCCTTACAAGATAGATTTGGATATTTTTTGTTTCTATTCTCTCTTACAGTGGCTCTATATCCCATAGAATTCAAGTCAAGGAGCAGAACATAATTTGTAAACAAAAAAAATTATCAAAATACACAATGTGTTATTTTGGCTCTGCGTTGGTATTTTACTCAGCAAATATTTCACCTTTCTGGAACCCAATGGATCAAAATATGGAGTAGTCGATTTCCCACAATAGACATCAAAAGCTACTAACAGCCCAATTACGATAGCCAAAACGCCTGGGTTTTCCCTTTATGAACTGTTTAGCAGGGTGACGTCCATAATACTTAACCATCGACTCGTCTATCGATAAATCTTGATGGAAAACTACCCATTGACAGAAGTTCTTTTCAAGTATTTCAAAAAATGGTCTCATCTCGAACATCCTATCAGATGTGGACGATGCCTCAGATCATTACCAGCAAAATAAAAATTCCTTTTGATTTTTAAATAACGATTTCTTGACATACAATAACCATAGAAACAGTTGGCACGCCAAGATCCTCATCAAAACTCAAATAAAACCTTTCTCGTGGCAATTAGTGATAGCCTGACAATATCAGGATGCCCAGAAAACGCTTCAAGTCATTAGGATTCAATGAAAAGTCGTTTCTGTTATATAGTGCAGCGTATAACGTACTGTTACAAATAATTAGGTCAAAAACTTCGTTATGAAAAAGCGATTCGAAAATTTGAACAGGATATTTATCACTCAGTATTTCCCTGATCTTAGCTCGTCGTTCTTGGATAGCTATAGATTATAATACCGAGAAAGAAAAGGAAGGAATGGGAACACATATTCTTATCACCGGTAAATCAGATGGATTAGATTGAAAATTTTTAGTTATTTTTTTCGGTGGCTGATAGGTAGAAGCTGTAGCGACTAGGGGCTCCTCATCGCAATTTTCATAATCAGAACCCATCACCACTCGTGAATACTCGTCGCTGAGCCATTTCGTAAAATATGTATGTTAACTGAAAGTATATAAAATGTACATATATATTGATGATAACATAAAGTCCATTACATTTGCACAAAAAAAAACAAAACTTTATTTGGTAAATCAATATAACCTTTATTTATAACTAAATATATATATTATACTATACTAAGTAAATACAAAAGTATTGAAAAACCAAGACTTACCCGAGGAGTACGGCGGGCGCTAATGAGTTAAACGCCAATAATGTTACCTAAGGTAAAAATATTACATAAAAATTCCTTACATAGCGTCCGCAGCGAATACTATTGATTATAGGACCAAATAATGTAATACGACTTTGCAGAACATACAATCATCTACAAAAAATGACGCGGCAGCATATGTCTAACTATTATTTTTTTTTGAAAATGAGATTTTAAACAGCGAATTTCAAATTTTTAGATGTGATCGACTGAACAGAATCGGTGGAGGTGTTCTATTTGCCGTGCATTCCTCTATCCCATCTGAAAATATTCTTGTTCCAGGGACCGACTCATTTGAATTTAAATGTATTAGAGTATACGTTAATAGTTGCTTTATTTATTTAACCCTATCTTATATACCACCCCATTCCGACTTATCTGTATACATGCAGCATGCTTCTTTAATAAATAGTGCTACCTCGATGGCAAATAATGCAGATTCAATAATTGTATTAGGTGATTTCAATTTACCGTGTGCTTCGTGGAAACCTTTCGATGACTATATCGTGCCGATTTGCAATCGATCATGTTTTAATGAGTTTTTCCAAAAAATGTCCGAGTTGGGTCTGAACCAAATTAATTTGATTCCGAATAAATTTGGTAAATGCTTAGATTTAGTATACGTTGATACCTCTGCAAAGTGTTCCGTTATTCAGAGTAATCCTCTTGTTCTACCAGAGGACTCATATCATCCTGCATTGGAAATATCTGTCGAAATCTCAGGCATTGTACGGGATAATAATCCTCAAACTTCGTGCTTCTGTACTCGGTTTAACTTTGCAAAAGCTAATTTTAAAAAGTTAAATACAGAACTTTCTAAAATAACATGGCCTAATTATAATGGTGACATTGAATTGAGTGTCTCTCATTTTAATAACATTATTATGAAATTATTTGAAAAGTATGTTCCAATAGTAATTGTTAATAAAAGCAAAAGTATAAGTCCGTGGTTTTCGAAAGAGTTATATAAATTGAAAAACAGAAAAACTCGAGCCTTTAAACATTTTAAAAAAACCGGTTCACTTGTCGACTATTCTAAATATTCTCTATTGCGTCGACAATATTTTGACCTAAACAAAAAATGTTATAAGAATTACCAAAATCGTTTTATGATTTCGTCAACTCCAAACGCAGGATTTCCAAATTTCCGTCCGCAATGAAATACAAATCTATCATTTCAAGTGACAATGATATTATATCCAATATGTTTGCAGAATTTTTCAAGTCAAACTACTGTAATAATTCTTCCAAAACTTTTTCTTATCAGCAAGTGCTGTGTTCGAATACTTTAATTAACGCTCCAATTATTTCTGAAGAAGACATCCTATTTAATTTAAATAAAATAAAACCATCTTTTAGTTATGGCCCAGACATGATACCCTCATGCTTCCTAAAAAATAGTGCCAAATATATTTACCTGCCTTTGACAAGGATATTTAATTCCTCTCTTAAACACGGTATATTTCCTGCAATATGGAAACAGTCATTTATAATCCCTTTGCATAAAGGTGGATTTAGATCCAACATTGAAAACTATAGAGGTATCGCAAAACTATCAGTTATACCTAAACTTTTTGAAGCTATCATCACTGACCATATAACCTTTTCGATTTCTCCGTTAATTCGCATCTCAGCATGGATTTCGTAAAGGGAATTCGACTATAACAAACTTACTTGAATTTGTAAACCACGTATCATTGGGTTTTAGGGAACATAAGCATACGGATGTTATATACACAGACTTTAGCAAGGCTTTCGATAAAGTAAATATCTCGATTCTCATACATAAACTTGATCTGCTGGGCTTTCAGCCAAGATTCCTTCAATGGGTATCTTCCTATCTTTATAATAGAACACAACGAGTGATATTTGAGGATACACCTTCAGATACAATTAATGTTTCTTCAGGTGTTCCGCAAGGTAGTCATCTTGGCCCGATTCTGTTCTTGTTGTTTATTAACGATATCTCTTCAGTAATAGAATTCTCAAAAATTTTATTATACGCTGACGACGTAAAGCCTTTTAAATCATACACTTCAACTGAGGAAAGGTGTCTGTTGCAAACAGACTTAAACAATTTGGTTGCATGGTGTGATAGAATGATTTGTTTCTGTAGCTGAGCAGTTTTAGATCTCAACACTTAAAAAACTCTCTTGCCTTTTCTGACTCGGCTAATTCCGCACGTATGCGGATTGCGCCCCTCGCGTCGGTTGGGCGGGATTAGGGTAATCGTTGGGTTTATTATACTATATTATAGTTACGTCACAACAAGTGTACTTTTATTTAAAAAAAAATTAATTAAAATGATGCCCCTATAAAATTTCTTTTTTTTCTTGGTGTTGTGGCTTATCAAAATAAATTACTTAGTATTCAAGACTGATTCAATACCTTTATATCACTTTTTGATTTATTCGATTCGGACGTTCCATTCGAATGATATAACGAATTTAAAAATGTAAGTATTAGAAAAAAGTCGAGTGGTTGCGGCTCATCCGGCTCGAGTAGGCTGAAAAATAATATGCGAAGTACTTGCATGCGTCATTGGGCACGGGAGGGGAGATAATGTCAAGAAATAAAGTGCAGCCCGGCTCACTCGCGCAGTTGGCTAGCTAAGAAGCGGTTGCTACTAGTTGAATATAATTTGAGTAATGCAAACGTTAATGCTTAGTGTAGACTAAGCCTAGCCCCAATATACCCGATGTATTGATCTCTGCGATTATCCTTATATTAGGTATTTGGGGGTTGGGGAAGTATTGACCTGATTTTATCCAAATTAGGCATAAGGACACATTAGTATCGTGAAAATTTATTATTTGAACTTCTGTAATATATTTATTTTACAGATTAAACGATATTTTCGATAAAAAGCCAACCATGTGCACCTTTGGCAAATCTTTGAAGGCAATATTTGTGCAAAGTTAAATTCCGATAATTTCATAGGTGGGTGATTTATATACATAATCTAATGTTAGAGAATCATATGGAATTAAAAAATGTTGTATATGGAAAGTGAGCGTGGTTGTATTCCGATTTCATCCAATTTACACTGGAACATAATCAGTATAATTTTATGTACCAAATTTAACTAAATTATTTAAGTGCATCTATTTATATTTACATACATGCACTTGTATTCAAAATACTATAAAATTATAATACATTTTCCCATTTAACAGGTTAAAATATGGTTTCAAAATCACAGGTATAAATGCAAGCGTCAAGCAAAGGAAAAGGCGATGGCAGAACAAAGCCAACAAAACCAGGTGCGTAATGTTCCTTAAGTTAGAATTTAATTATTTACTAATTATTTTAATTAATCGACCAGCACAAAACTGTAGATGTAAAGGAAACTTCAGTTTGACTAGTTTTTGAAGATAAAAACAGAAGTAATGAATGAATCATTGTAAAAAACTATCACGTCGTTTATATAAATCGTTAGTTTAGACACTTGTGCAGATTTTCAGTAAGTTCTATTTTGTGTATTCACAGTGCTTACGGCTCAGGGCATGAATAATAAAATAAACACGCAAGCATGAGCTATGTTCTGGCGCAATCTCGTAGAGTAGCGTCTCGTAACGTGTAAGGATTAAAAGAGAGTGAAATATTCATAAGGGACAACAAATATTTATTATGTGTATATAAGAAAGGTAAAGGTGCAACCGAAAATTATATACATCATTCTTTATTAGACATAAATTCTCAATCGGCGTTTATGGGAACTATGGGAAAGTGAGGATCGAAATCATCTATACTAGGTTCAGGATCTGGTAATCAAAATCAGGATATATCGGGGCACTTTGCCTAGAAGTACTAAACCGATTTTATCCATTTTTAGAATCACATCACATTATTATCTAAAGCTTAATAACTATTACTATCTTGAGTCAAAAAATCATACGGACTCCAAAGTTCCTCAGAGTTGGGTATTAAACGTTTGAGTTTGATGACAGCTTAATTTGGTACATAATATGCGTTCGTTTTCTCCACCTAATGATACTATACTTTTATCATATGGCCGAGTTCCAAAAATATTCGTTTATAAATTTATCGTATTGATATAATCTCTCATTTCTATGATGTTTTTAGTAGGAGTTTTAGTAGGAATACTAAATAACGCCCTGTTGAATGTGTAGGGGTATTTTAAGTTCGTCACAAAGTTTGTAACACCAAGAAGGAAACTTCGGAGATTCTATTGTATAAGATATACTTATGTATATATGAATGATCAGCGTGACGAGCTGAGTCGATTTAAACATGTCCGTTTGTCTGTTTGTATATACGCGAACTAGTCCCCTAGCTTTTGGGTTATCGGCCTGAAATGTTTCACACGTCCGTTTCTCACCAAGAAGCTGCTCATTTATCGGAATCGCTTTAACATATACTAGCCACACAAACTGAACGATCGGAATTAGTTGCTTTCAGTGAAAACTTTTTTATTTGACAAAATATCTTCACAAAATTTAGCATGGGCTATTGTCTAAGGCATTAATGGATTCTTCGAAGAAATTGTTCAGATCGGATCACTATAGCATATAGATGCTATATAAAGTAACTTCGATCGGAATAAAGTGCTTGTATGGAATCTTTTGTATTTTTAGCCTCAGCAATCAAAGTTAACGTTTTTGTGTTTAACTGAAGCATTTGCTGGCACAAATTTGAGCAAATGGATGATAACCCCACCCACTTTCCATATAACGCTAAGTTGAAATTTACTAAATATTCCATCTCGATAACTCGCTAAATAAATATTCCACCTTCATTAAATTTCATCGCCAAGATGGTACAGGAAGACTTTATAGGCACTTGTATCAAAATTGGAGCATGGTTCAATACCTATCCTAGCCCCCAGTATGCCTTCGACCTATAATATAAATTAATAAGACACTAGATACGATTTTTATCCATTTATAATTTGTAGAATAGCTAATACTGAATTACTTGCCTTTTTTATATAAGATTATGTCAATACTCGTTTTAATATAGTTTTGCCTACACCTGAAAGTATTTCTCAAGCTTTGATCATTGAAAATTGCGAAAGTTCTCAAAAAAATTTTGCTTACGATTTTTGCACGCAATGTGCTCATTTAAATAAAAGTTATTCAATTTCTAATTTTCAAACAGCTTTTAATACAACATTACAAATAATAAAAAGCAATTAAAGATAAAATATATTTTCATTTACAGACTTCTAGTTCACCCAGACGTGTAGCAGTACCAGTTCTCGTAAAGGATGGTAAGCCATGTTCGGGTAATAGCAGTACACCACTATCTCAACAAGCTTGTACCGCTAGTAATACAAGTAATACCAGTAATAACAACACTAACATAAATGAGAATATCGCTACCACGGAAGTTAATAACAGCATCACTGGTGGCTTAAATCTTATAACGGGTGAAACTACAAACTCCCATTCACCAGATACATCAAACTCCCTTATTGCTAGCTATAATGGGACGATTGGAAGCCACAATCAAATTCAACAGCAATCATGCAATAATTCATTAATGTCAAACAGTTTAGCCATGGCATATCGCAATCAAAATAACTTTATTTCAAACGGACATCAGCAACAGTGCACGGGTTACTTGCCTCTACAAGGTAGAGCGTGGTAAAGGGCGAAAAAAATTAAACAATAATAAATAGTTCACGAACAAGAATGCAAAACATAAAAAATGTCGCTAGTAAACTCCGCATTTAAAAGAGGTGTCCACTAAATTCACGTAAAGGCGCATGTAAATTTTACCGCAGTCGCATTTAACACTGATAAATTAATGATTTTTGTACATGTTACGCTACTAGCATATATATGCAAATAAATATCAGTTTTATAGAATTATGGTCTTAGCCCGTATAAAGCAAATTGATATACAAATAGTTTTTCTACTCTTAATTGTTTAGTAAAGCTTAAAGGATAAATGTACATACATGCATATACACCTAAATTAGTATTAGGGTGGACCAAAACAAAATCCTGTGATACCGTGAAAATACGATGCGTAATGACCACAAAAACTGCTGGTATTAATAAGAGGCGCATTGTAATTTTTGATTTCCCATATAAATAACACAGGAATATTTTTTTATTTTATTGGGATGTTTGATGCAAAGTAAAAATGAAAACTTATTTTTGTAGAGAGTTTAACGGTCTACAAAAAATGTCCGGAATCAAATTTAGCTAAGTCTACTTGTTCAAAAGTTATTTTAAGTCAAAGTCCATTCTAAAATTGTAAAAGACAATTTTTACAATATTTACGTTATTTTTCGAAGTAGTACCTCAAAATCATATATATTCTTTATTACATTTAGCAAATATTTTGATAAATTAAGTTTGTTAATAAGCTGCTTTCTTTTATTTCCGATTGAAGCAAGTTCTTGGTGTATTGCCATTTTCAACTCTTTTGCGGTAGTAAACTGGCGTCCATTTTTAAAAGCTCTAGCAAATATTCCCCACAGATCCTCGACTGGACTGGAAAAACCTTTTATTAAGAGCTTCCTGTGTTATTTTTCTATTAATATTGTATTAATATAAAGATATAAAGAGCTCAAATTTTACCAGCATTTTTTGTGGTCTTTTCGTACAGTAATTTCACGGTAATTAGGGAAATATTAATAATAAAGCTTTTCTGGACCACCCCAATGAGTATGAGTTAAAACAAGTGAGGGAAAGCTGATTGCGATCAAAACCAAACACTAGCAATACTTGTAGTGCAACACTGTAATATACATATAAAAACCCATGTGTAAAATAATGATCTATTGAATTTTGAATATATGTAGTATGTAACGTTTTTTAAGGTTTCAAATGATAATTATTTAATGATTTATTTTCTAAAGAAATAAACGACAAAAGTTATTCATATTTATTCGCTTTAACGTTAGGTCAAAATAGTGATCGATTTTTTTATTTCCGAAATTATTGGTAATATTTGGTCGAGTTTTCATGAAATCTTTGATTAATATTTTATCCATGGAATTTAACATGTTCAAATTGTTTTGCTTATTGTGATAATACTTACATCTTGTGAAAAGTACATGACAGCTTTTCTCGTACCACAAACTTTATTGGTCCTAAATAAAAAATAAAACTTCGTCAGTTTTTCGAAATTCGAAAAATTTTGAAAGTTATTGCTATAGGTATATATTTTAATTAACAGGTACGATTGTGAGTGAAAATGTCCTGCTTCATTTGATACTACGAATTTTTGCAAAAAACAATGTTTGTAAAAAATACAAACAATTTATTTTAATATTATTTATTCGAAGAAGTGAACAATTTATTCCTTAACTTTTAATCAAGTGAATGTTTTCTTTTCTTTTTGAGTATGGTTCTTCATTAAATAATAAATAATACGGTATAAAATTTGTTTAAAGAAAATGACCGGAGCACTATAGCTGCCATACAAACTTACTTAACTACTTAATTTGACAAAACATCTGTATGAAAAATGCAAACGCATTTATATAATATTATATTTGTGTTCAGTGACACTGTCATTTTATGGAATTCATTCCTGGTGCACTAAATTATACAGTATAATGATACAATATTAGCTTTTTGTTGCTGCAGAGTATAATAGCTGTGTTCACCTGGCGGTTGTTTGTATCACCTAAAAATAATCGAGTCATATAAAGGCTTATATATGTATGTGAATATAAACTAAAAATTTAGATATCTTAATGAAACTTGATATACGTGTTTTTTGGCAGAAAATAAAAGACGAGTACGTAGCGTATGGACTACTGCCACTCCCACAAAACGCCAGTAATCGAAAGCCCTAAAAAGCGCTGACTAAGCCGCAAATTAAGATACAAAATTGTAATTTGGCACAACAAATCGCAATAGCGAGAACACCTGTGGTTTGAGAATTTTTAAAAAGTGGGTGTGGCTCCGCCCCTAATAAGGGGTTAAATGGGTTATACGGCTTCAAATTAAATACATTTTTATTGTCTTATTGAATTTTATAACATCTCTAAAATATTGTGCTAAATTCTATAGTTGATCGGAGTAATAGTTTTGTAGATACAGACATGAACAGTTGCGCACTCGAGGTCCGCTATACATAGATTGCCTTTTATACTTCGGGGTTTGGCAACCCTAGTGTTGCAATTTGGCAACTGAGAACTTTATCATAAACTCTGACATTTTTGATGTTATTCTTAATCAGAACGACATACGAGCTCTATTTGTGTTGTTAAAGTATTCATATCGGCCACATAATTGGATTAAAACGCGATACAATTAATATTGCATGAACATTTGATTGTAAAAAAAATTGTTCTCGGTGGAGCCCACACAATTTGCCAACCTCTCAATAGAAGGCTCGTGTCCATTGCTCAAGAGACATGTTAAAAAAAATTACTATAGCAATGCTTCAAAACACGTCTATGGCATCGTGACCGGTGATAGATCGTAGATTCATGCGTATTTCCAAGCAAATCGTAGTCCGTTTTTTGTTGGGAAAACTGGACATGTCGCAAGCATACCACTAAGACAACGCAGGGCAGTAAATTCTGAATGGTAAACAACCATATGTTTGCCAGTTGTCTTTACTTAAAACTTTAAACGCTCTTTTTTCGAAACTGTGTTTTCAATGTCGGTTGTCAATATTTCTTGCGAACTGGTCAACCGACCTTAGTGAAATTTTACACAGATCTTCGAGATATAATTTTCAAGGTCTTGAACGAAGGATTTTTTTTGTTCAATTACACCTGTTCAACAAATAGGAAAAACGTTGATAAATATGACCAAAAATTCCCTTTTTTTATTAACACGTCTGCCAAAAAACCACTTTCATTTGTTTTGTTTTGCCTTCGTGCAATACCTAGTTTATGGTCTTAATTAAAGCACATATTTTTTTCTTTTTACTTTTGATGATCTTGTCAACACGGAGGCACCTTTTCTCCGAGAGACTGCCGGAAATGACGTCGAATTGGCTGAGTTTTGAATATTTTCCTTTGAAAATTTCACAAAATCGTTGAAAAATATGTATTTATGGAATAATTGAAAGTTTGAATAAAATATTTAATTTTTACATAAATAAAAAATTATTGAAAATTTGCAGTTTTTTGCTTGACAAAACCCATTTAACCGCTTAATGTATATATCTCCCACATCATTCAAGCTAGATCTCCCAAATTTGCACAGGACAAATCATTTTGACACCTCTTCGGACAGCGTGTAATTAAGTGAAATCAGAAGCTAACCACGCCCACGCTCCATATAATGGTCTTGTTAAAAACCACTAAAAGTGCGATAATTCAATGCGTCAGAAACATTAAATTTTACATTTAGGATGGCCCACGAGCGTTTTATAAGAACCGATGTCAAAATTAGACCATAGGTGTGGCACCGGCCACATTTAGGAAAATGACATATCTCTACATCTACTTGACCAATTTCAACCAAATTTGATACATAGGATTATTTCATTCACATGTTACGCTGCGAAAATGGGCGAAGTTGGACTGCAACTATGCCTACTTCCCATATAACATAACTTTAAATTTCATCGAGTTTTTCACTTCCCAGTATACAAATCAAGCACCAATTAATATATCGGAATAAGACTTTGCACAAATATTGCCTTTAAGGTATGATATCTCACATCTAAATGTTGTCAAAATGGGACCATAACTCTTCAAGCCCCCAGATACTTGTTGGACTTATACAGTATATATCGGTCAATAGTAAGATATCTTAGCAAAATTAACTGAACGTATAATATTGGATGTACTTTAGTTTAATGCCAAAAATATTTGAAACTACACTACATATAATAATTTCCGTTATTCTAACAAACCTTATTTGAATATGAAGTTTTGCCAAGACCTGAAGGTATTTCCCTGGCTTTGATATTTGCAAATTGCAAGGGTATGAAATGTTCGGTAACACCCGAACTTACTTGTTCCTTACTTGTACTAATGTGATTTTGGTTTTAAGTAGATATATGTACATACTTGTACTTGTACATATGTATAAATCGGTGTGAAAACGGTTGAGCATATGTATAGTATATTTGTAGAGCCTCAGTGGCATTACGGATAAATCAGTTTTATTATGTATAGATCATATTGTTTATAATTTTCTAAATAGAGACTCAACCAGTTATGATATTTATGTGAAAAGTATAAATTGAAATACAAATGCTTTCAATAAATCAAACTTTTTCTAATAAACTGTTAAGTCAGTGTTAATACTTAATCTAGTTAACCGTTATTCTTATTTTAACTATTGGTCGATGAATTTTGATTTCTAGAATTAGATCGTTTTATATCTTCAATATAACGTGTTTTTAATTTAAAATGGTATAAATCAAAAATTAACCCAATTGATGCTTTTGAGTACTTTGGCAGGTTCTTTCTTAGATGATAAAAAACGGTTTTGCTTCGAATTTTCACATTCGAAAATTCACATTAATTTTTTTGGAGGATTTAAAATGTCTGGTTTTTACATAATTTTCATATTATAATGAATTTAGCATCCAAACACGTCAACAAAATTATTGTTGTGCTATAATATATAAGTAAACTAATATATTGTAGACCAAATATTTTAAAATTCCCAATTTATGTTTTTATATTATATATTTAAGTCTTACGATGTTTAACTAATTTTCTAAAGCTCTTTATTGACGTTTCATTTTGATGAAACATCGCTAAATGTTGTTGTCTAAAATGTATTTATTTTATTAAATATTATGTAATTTTAATGTTTAAATATGTTCGCAACTAAATATGTATGTCTTTGGACAGCGGACCTCCCCTTTTATTTTGAATTTCTAATTAGATCATATGCATGTGTAAAATGTTTGACGTTGCAAACTATTTACAAGGATAATTTGCATATTTCGTACGAAAATTTTAAAGTATTATATACTTTTACACCGGAGTGTTTTTTAATACTGGACTAATTTCATATTCTCTCTGGAAGTGCAACATGAGCTGCTCACTGTGTTGAATGTAGTCTGGAGGAATTTTGCACAACCCGAATAAATTCAATCCATGCAGATTTTGAAAGTATGCAATAATTTTGATTTTAGTACATAACTTTTGACATTACATTTTTATACGCTCTCTGAATTTTTCTAAGATAAATCACATAACGTTGGTCTAAAGAATTTAGAGATCCGTATATTACTAAAACACTTTATACAACTTTGGTTAGACCTATATTGGAATATGGCTCTGTGGTATGGAACCCTAGCTACTAAATCCATTCTGACAAGTTAGAGTCGGTTTTTACTTTTCGCCTTAGCGCATTTCCGATGGGATGCTAGGGTAAGTCTACCTCCATACACTTGTCGTTTAAAACTTATTAATCTACCTACACTTTCTAGTCGTAGGGAAATGCTTGGTATAATATTCTTAGTGAAACTTTTGAATGGAACTGTTTGCAGTTCTTTTCTCCTGTCTGAAATTAAATTTAATATCCTGGTTCGCCTTTCGAGGCAGTTTAGACCTTTACTGCTAAAATCCTGTAGATCAAATTTTGAACTAAACGAGCCATTCCGCCGTATATGTCATGATTTTAATTCTCATTCCAGCACATTTGACTTATCTGACTCACTTTTCAAAATTAAAAAGACTTTATTGTTTTCTCTTAATAAATGAAAATGAAACAATTTATTATATTGTAACTTTAGATCTTAGCTGTTGAAATTTTTGTTTCTGTAGCTGAGCAGTTTTAGATCTCAACACTTAAAAAACTCTCTTGCCTTTTCTGACTCGACTAATTCCGCACGTATGCGGATTGCGCCCCTCGCGTCGGTTGGGCGGGAGGAGGGTAATCGTTGGGTTATTATTATTATTATATTCACTGGTATATACCGCGTTAAGTTGATTGGAATGAATGATTGGATT